CCAAGCCTGATCATTCAAACCCTGCCTTTTAGTGCCCCAGAGGGCCCTCTCGCTCCCATCCTCCTAGAAACAGTAAATCCTAGCTAGGTTGATCGACCCCGGTACTTTCCTGGGCTATGGCAACACATTAGAAGGGCTTAGAGGATTTCCATGGCAGATATAATGATAGAAGTGAGAGTCACGATGGAGGTAAAATAAAGAACAAACCTCAAATCCAGGACTGAGCTCTAAAGTAGTGGCAGGATGCTAACAAGAAGATCATAGAATCTCAGAGTCAAAGGGCGCTGTGAACCCAACCCCTCTCCCAATCTACCTCTAATGTCGCCGACGTGGTCACCTGGCTTGCATTCCCAGGGACGGGAACGCCTAGATACCACGTGGCAGCCCATTTCAGCACCTTCCCTCAGACAGGGTGGGTCTCTCTTATGGTGCTTGGACTCTTTGGACTGGTTTGACCCTTTGAGCCTAGTGCGTTGAGCTGCAGAAGCCAGAAATCACATCTCTCTGGAGCCTTCTCTTTCCTCATGTGACTCACATTCTAGATTTTTGACATCTGGGCTACCCACCACCACATGAGCTCCTTATCTAGAATCTGATGCTCTGGACCCATATGTGTATTCATTCAGCAGGTTTCAGTATGTGTTGGCCAGTGGTTAAGAGAGCAAGTTCTGGGATCATAAACACTCCTGGGTTCGAGTCCTGGCTCTGCTCCTTAGCAAGTTACTCAACCTCTCTGAACTTCAATTTCTGAACTCCTCTGTGAAGATAAAAATAATAGCCACTTTACAGAGGATTAAGTGATGCAGTGCATGTAGAGGACCTCCCATAGCGCCCAGCATATGGTAAATGCTCAAAATTTTGGCAACCCCAGTGGACAGATGATTCGTACTGAATCTGTACTCAACTAAAAGCCAAGGGTCCTTGTCACACAAACTGTTAACGTTTATCCCTGTTAAACTTCATTCTGTCAGTTCCAGGCCATTGTCTCATCCTGTCAACATTGATTTTGTCATCGTACATGAGTTGGCCCATACAGCTTGGAGTCATTGGCAGATCTGATAACGTGCCTTTTATATTTCCATTTGAGCTCTCTCTCCGGTCCGCTGCCATTATGTTACTCAAGATTCTTTAGGTTCAGCTGTTCAGCCAGCACTCAAGTTACCCAACTGTGTTATCATCCAGCCCACACTGGCTCCTTTGATTGAGAAAATTTTTTTTTCCCCTAGAAAATTTGAAGGTTCCAAAGAAAAAGTTAATTTGTATTCAACAGCTTCTGTTTAAAAGGCTACGGAAATGATAAAGCCTTCTAGAAAAGGCCTCAGTCAAAAAGTGGTCAATAGAAAGGTTGGGCACTTGGTGGAGTAAATTTCATTTATCTAGAACATTCCCTCTCGGGGGATTGTGTGAAGCCTCTGCAAGGCCAGCAAACGAGGCATTATCGCACGGGTCTTCAGTGTTTTCCAATTTGGTTTGTGCCTTCTCTCTGTTCGAATAGAAACTTCTCAAGGTCAGGAGCCATTTCTATCATTTTCTATCTCTTTTCAGCAAGACTGAGAGATGGAAGTCTGAGTTTTGCACCCCACAAACTCTTAACACCTGCTGACCAATAAATCATCATCATGCAAATTAACCATTTGTATGCCTACATCCAAGAGGACAGTAGGAAACTCAGAAGCATCAGGCGCGACATTCAAGAGGGCAGAAATTATGTGTTTCATTTTTGTCACCTTCAGGGTACCCGTAACATCCCACATCGCACATGGTAGACAGAGAACTCAGAAATTATTTTTCTGAATGTTGAGTGAATGACATGAGGGACAAAAGCCATGGTCCCAGAGTCATACTGATCCTATCCACATGCCTTCCTTCAGGTGAAGGGGACACTGTTGCCACACCAGCAAGAGACCTTGCAACTAAGAACCATTAACCGAGGGTCAGAGCAAGTATAGACCACACTGCATCCAGGCCATAGACACCACCAATCCTAGGGGCTGCGAATCTTCGTGGAGAGAGGACATGTCAATGGTAAGTTCATATCAGGTGTATCTGATGTACCATTTAAAGGATAAAGACATCACACAGGCTCCAAGGGCAAAAAGCAACACTTGCAGCTGAGGTCTTTGGAAAGGCTTCACTGTAGAGGGTGATTGGGCAGGATTTTAAAGGTGGAGGGAATTGGAGAGGACTGAGTCAAGGCAAGGGGCTAGGCAAGCACAAGTGGGCTTGGGGAGGGACAAGTAGGTGATTTGTCTGCAGAGGGGACTCCTGAAGATCCCCAGCCTGCCTCTTCCCCAGGGAGCCAGGGCGCATGCTGGAGGAGGGGTGTGGCTGCTGGTTGTGGATTAGGTGTTTGGAATAGGTCTCTATCTGCAAAGTTAGGTGACTCACAAAGGGTCAAAAGCCATGTCCCCCGCTTAGCGGCATTTTCCTCTGATCTGAGTTGAAAAAGCCAGCCCAACAGACTCTGTCTGGCTTAAGCCACTTCCTGTAACCCAACTGTTAAATATCATCGCCAGCCATTGCCACTTTATCAGACAGATGGGGTAGGATCTTTCACCTCAAATGCTAAGAGTTGCCCTGTGGCTCCTCCAGTGTTTTCCGTCTCCAGCCCCAGCAATGACAATGCCTAATCCTTCACCAGACAGTCTTGCTTTTCTCCTCACAAAGTCGCGTTATCCTTCAAACCACTGACTCAACAGCCTCATAGGTCTGGCCTGCCTGGCTGTGCCAAGGGGCGGGCCCTTGGACGACCGGTTGCCTAGCAACATCTTTGAGGCTTCCTGCTTCGGGCAGCCCTTGGAGAAATAGGGACACCATCTACTTCAAGGCTAAAGCAAGCTGTTGGCTTTGAGGCTGCTCGCCCTGAAATACAAAGATAGAAATCTTTTAATTAATAGTTAGCTCACTCTGAATGTTAAAGTTCAATTTTTTCTACAACGTCACTCTTTTCTCTGCCTTCTGTTTTCATTCCCTGACTCATTGGCTTTTGGCTTCTCCCTTTTAAAGAGAAACGTGCAGAATAAGCTTAGGCACTTTTCTTCAGAAAAGTCGTATTTAAGGTTGGTTGTTCTTGGGCAACCTGGGTGGCTCAGTCGGTTGAGCGTCCGACTTTAGCTCAGGTCACCATCTTGCAGTTTGTGAGTTCGAGCCCCGGGTTGGGCCCTGTGCTGACAGCTCGGAACCTGGAGCCTGATTCAGAATCTGTGTGTGTGTGTGTGTGTGTGTGTGTGTGTGTGTGTGTGTGTGTCTGCCCCTCCCCTGCTCACACTCTGTGTCCCTCTCTCAAAAATACATAAACATTAAGTTTGGTTGTTCTTTTAGGCATGCACACAGACCAAACGACCTATTCTCTTTTCCACAAAGGAAGGAGACACATTGGAGCAACCCCTGATGATTCGGGTCACAGGCTAGCTTTTAAATGGGTCCCAGGATGTTGGTGTTCTACCCATCTCCAGGGATAAAAGCACTGCTGATGATTAGGGGATCCTATCCTCTTTGGAACACGTAAAGCTACTACGGCTACTCATTGCCACTAACCCTCTCACCTCAAAACTGAAACGATACAGAATAAAACAAAGAAACAACCAAAAGCAAAACCCAAAACACCCCAAACACAAACAAACAAACAAACAAACAAAAACAACTGGCCAGTTGAGTCCATCTGGTAGAAAGACAACCTATTCAGATGAAGTCAAGTACAACAGTTACAGGGTCGCCTAATTCTAGCCTTGGACTTTCAAAAAAGTTCTGTTTTTCATGGTTAAGGCATCCCATAGGCCCAGCTTCATTATTTCTTCCTCACATCACACAGGAAAGGAGATGCAGCGTTCTTAGTAATAACTCACCACGAAGCTACTTTATGGAACGTCTTCCTTCTGGCCTAGCAAGCAAGAATATAGACTTTTAACCTAATAGATAAGAGTTTAAATCCAGTTCTGCTACTTCCTACTTTGTGATCTTGAGTGAGTGTCTTAACTCACTGAGCCTCTTTCCTCATCTGTAGAGTGGGAATATTAACACCCACTTGTAGAGAGATCTCAGGGGTGCTGCATAACCGATATATTCCTTCCAGTATAGTTCCTGGTTCCTAGTAGACCGACCAGCAGACATGAATTCCTTTTCATCTTTCTTCTGTGCCTCTGTCCTTAGTCTCTGCCTTTCAATCTTTACTGGGAACTCAAATCAGAGACCAGGTGCTATGACAAGAGTCTAGATAGACCAGGTATTACTGAATGAGGACCATCTTTCCTTTTGCTTCTGGCTTCTGGTTGTGTGTTTCTTCTTTCCCACTTGTGGTAGGTGTGAGTGTTTGCCCTGAAAGCTGACCACAACCTGGGCTTGATATTGACAATTTCTGTTTGAGCTTTTAAGAAGGCCATAGAGAGAGAGAGTGGACAGAGAAGGCAGGTTCTAGGTAGACAGCAGTCAAGGAAAGAATACGCAGTAATCTTGAGTTGGGGAAGAAGGAATCAAATTTTCTTTCTTTCTTTCTTTCTTTCTTTCTTTCTTTCTTTTGAAGGGAAGTAGATGAAAACATTGTCAGGACTCAGGAAAACATGGTAAGTTTCTTTGTCAACAAACATTTATTGAGCACCTACCGTATATGGGCTCAGGTTTATAATAAGGTTCCAAAGACCTGGGACACTGATTCCTGCCTTTGAGTGCTTATGCTTTAAGTGGGCATACCAAAGACTGACAAAGGTCAACCCCAGGTTACTTGCATGTACCAATCCCACAGTTCCTAGAGGGTTTCAGACTGTAGGAGCAATTGGATGTGACTGATCAAGTAAGGCTTCCTGAAAGAGACAGTTTGAAGGAGACGAAGGCCATGGGCGAGGAACCTGGAGTAGCAGGTGCAAAGGCTTAGTGCTAAGAGAGTGTGCCAGAGGGTGAAAAAAAGCCCCCTCCTCAAGTCCTTTGTGGCTCTCCTTTCGCCCTGAGCCCACTTTCACTGGCCCGGCGGGGACCCGAGCAGGGGGCTGGGCCACAAGCGGTCTCACCTCACTGGATCGGAGGACTCCGAAGAACGGGTAAAGGAAGGCAGGCACCAGGGCTGCAGCTCCGAGGGGCACCGCCTCAGACACCCAGTACACAGCAGTCACGATCAACACATAAGCACATGCGGCCTCCTGGAAGGGAAGGGGAGTGGGTGGTTAGCCACAGGGACAGCCATGGCCCCTGAGAATCCAAACGAGACCCAGGGGCAGAGGCAGCTGGTACCCAGAGTCAAAGATGGGCACGAGGACACAGCCCTGGGTGGGGGGGTGTGTGTGTGCAAAGCTGGCCTCTGGTGGACACGTGGCGGGGCCCACGCTTTGGCATGTGAAGTAATGGCTGCTCCTTGGGGGGGACCGGTGCCTGGCACGTGGTTTGCAGCAGAATGGCCACCAGACTGACCATGTCCCAGCTCTGCTCGTTCTTGAAACTGTGCAGGGTGGGGACCCCAATTAACTGCGGTGCTCAGACCCGAGATCATCCGCTCTCAAGTTGGAGTTCATAGCTTTAACACGGAGCGTGATATTTTGGTGTCGAGTTGACGGGGCGCAGATGTTCTCGGCATAGTTGAAAGTAGGGATCAATTTGTGTAACCAATTCAGATGTGAGCTCTGAGACTGGCCCTCTTTGGGGCTGGATAATTCCTTGCTGTCGGGGCTGTCCTGTGCATTAAGATGTTTAGCATCCCTGGCCTATACCCACTAGATGTCAGTAGCACCTCCCCATCGTGACAACCAATGTCTTTAGACATTACTAAATATCCCTCCGGGTGGGAGTGGGGAAATTTGTCCCGGGGTGAGAACCATCGCCCTTACCATTATCTGGTTCTCATTGCCCTGGGACTTCATTCCACCTGCCTGATGCCCAGGGAGACATCCATGGGACATAGGGGATAAAAAGTGCTGTCTACCTGGAAGGGAAGGGCTGGAAATTTATGAGAGTTTTCCCCAGCCTCCTCCCTTTGCTGGCTATACCACACTGGTGTGCACGGAATAAAAAGGCACAACATTGTTATCAACAATCAGCCCTCCTTAACCTCAGCCTTTAGTAATTCTAGTTGCTCGGGATGATTCTGATTAATGGTGCTGAGAAAGGTCGCTGGCTCACTCTTGGGAGACGTCACTCTTGGGAGACGTCACTATCCAAGGGCCCTAACAACAGACTTGGAGGGCCACTGTATAGAAGGTGCAAGCTGGCTGTGGGTTCCTCAATTTATACGTAGTTCTAAACCATCTGGGCTCAGGTCTGACCTACCCTGAGGCTGGCTGGTGATCAACAAACCTGACAAATCTTGTTCTGTTTATCTCTCCCTTGGGTTCAGAACAAGCCTCCTCAAACTCTTGCACAAAAGTTACAAAAGGTCGCCATGATCAGTGAGGGGCGTCAGGAGTGATTAACCCAGCTTGGAAGAATGGGACCTTGCTCCCTCCTGATATGCATGGATTACTGCCTTGGGGTTTGAGAAATGGGAACTGGGCCCAATAATTGTTGACTGTAGCTCCCACTGAGATTTCCTCTGGGGCCAAAAGATCAGAGAGAAGTTAAAACTTTTGGAAGTCACTGATAAGACAACAGAACCAGTAAGGGGGGTGGGGGGTGGGGGGAAGGCACCATTGGAAAATAATGCAATTTAGAGAAATACCAACTTTGTTGCAGAAACAAAACTACCCAAAGAAGCCCTTTACCCTACTTGGGCCCACTTATTTCCATCTCTTTTCTGAGAAACAGAATGGCAGGTCTCCCGTAACTCAGCTGAAGATAAAGGGGGCCCTAACGATGGGACAGAATATCTGTCCCTCACTGAGAACTTTCGGTTTTTCTTGTCATAACAGAGCCACAAATTAAGTTAGGGAGGGAAGGGGCTGCAGTGGGAAGGGGTGACAGACCAAGAGAAAGAATGATAGAGAAAAAACTCTCTACCAGGCATCATTTTAGTTTGAATTAGGAAGATTTGGGTAAGCCAAGGTAAATTTAGGAATTAGGATGCGTTGGCTTGGAGGAAGTCAGCAAACCACTTTCATCCAGGATTTTTTTTTTAAGTAGGCTCCACGCCCAGCACAGAGCCCAAACCCACCGCCCTGAGATCAAGACCTGAGCTGAAATCAAGAGTCAGATGCTTAACCGACTGAGCCACCCAGGCGCCCCTTCATCCAGCATTACAAAGAACAGGAGAACCTACCATCATCCTTTTTTCCCTGAACTTTCCTTAGAGCAGAAGAATGGCCAAGAGAGGGCCTCCATTTGGCCTTTCCATATTTCTTGCCCACTTCACCCATGGAATTTACATAAACTTCCTTTTGCTCCTTCTGAACCTTCTCAAAGTTCAGTGGGTAAGCTTATATTTAGATAACCCCCAAAATCTTGTGAGGTTTGATTATAGGACTCCTGGGACCCCACATCTGGCCAAGGTCTGGCAGGTGGCTCAATTAATATTGGTTGAACTGAACTGGGTTCCTCTGTTGGCTATCAGGTTTCTCTTATCTATCGGAGAGAATATTCTGGAAACCCTAGGTCCCTTATCACTGCCGCTAGTCAGCAGGTATGTAGGGGCGGATGAGTATGCAGGCGGTGCCTTTAAAGGAGAGTGTTGCCAGCTCTGTTTTGCTGCCTTTTATAAATAAAGGAGGAAGCTCAAAAGCTCAAAAGTGGCTTTACCCACATTGGAAGTTTCCTGACTCTGCTACCAACTGATGTGTGCATCTGTTCCTTTTCCATGCTGCCCGGTCACCTCAGTGATGTGCCATTCAGACTTCACTGGAAGGGGCTTGAGGTCTTCTTTGCTGTCATAGATGGCTGTGACGCCTTTCTGCAATTAAGCTGGGGCTTGGGTGTAACTTTTATCCCACCAGGGACACTGAAGCGGGGCTAATTTATGGACGACCCCCCCCCCCGTCCCCTCCTCTTCTGTAACATGGTAAACTGAGTTTGGGCCCCTGGTTTTAGAGAGCTGGTCAGGAAAAAGGGGAAGGTCCTTCTAATCCTTCCTAAAACGTAGCTGTGGCTTGGCACTTTGAAGAATCATCAGAACAGCAGGCCAGGAGCTCCTGGCCGGGTCCCTCCGCTCAGCTCCGGCCCAGGGCAAACAGGTCCACTTAGGAATCCTGAGGATTACATATCAGAATCTAAAAGTTTAATGCACAGGAGTAAGAATGGGTCAGAGACGTTCTATTTGTTGGCTTGTCCCGGTGACCTCAAGGTGCTTTTACATCATCGTAGAAGAGGAGCAGAGCCCTTGTTGACACTGTGACACACGGAGAAATCGTCTCTGCAGGGCAAACTGGGTAGATGGCAAGAAAGCTACGCCTGAAAGGCATGGACCACCCCAGGCTCCATCTGGCTGTCCCGAGGGAGGGAGTCAAAATATCCAACCTCCGCTAACCCAGGTGCCTGGGGTAGTGTTATGTCACCTTTCTTAAAAGGCACTTGTTCTCAGCAGGGGGTGATTCTGTACCCCGCCCCAGGGGTATTGGTAATATCTGGAAGCATTTTTGGCCATCATGGGGTTGGCAGTGTGTGCTGCTAGCCTCTAATGGGTAAAGACCCGGGGTGCTGCTGAACTCCCTACAGTCGCAGGACAGCCCTCCCCACAACAGAGAATTATCTGGCCCCCAAATGTCACTAGTGTGGCTGTCGAGAAACCCTGTTCTAAGGTGACAGAAGGGGCTAGGTCAAGAAAGGGCAATGTCTCTTGGTCTCAGTAAGTCCAGCTTTAAAAATCTCTTCGAAGAATCTTTACAGATCCAAACAGAGCAGAGGCCCAGCTGCCCTTCCTTTTCTTTCCTCTTTAAGATAACACCTGTCTTCCTTCGAGTTTATTGATTATTTTGCTTGCTTCAATAACGGGTTTCTTTTTTCTTCTTGTGGATGCTTCTTACTGCCATTGGTGACTCAGAAGCTCAAAGCCAGGGCCTCAGAATGAAATGGAGGCAACACCACACCCTAGACTCGTGGTCTCCAAACACAGGGCTGACTCGGGGCCACAGAGGTGCCTGATACTTCCATGGAGAAGAGGGCGACATGTCTTTGGTTAACACTCCCTTAAATGCAATCTGACATTGAGTAAAAAAACAACAACAACAACAAACCAAGAAGAAAAACAAAGAAGGAAAGAAAGAAAGAAAGAAAGAAAGAAAGAAAGAA